CAGCAGGAACAATTTATCAGGCGAGATCCCAGAGGAGATCACAGGAATGCGGATCTTGAACTACCTTAACCTCTCCAGGAACCACCTCGACGGCGGCATCCCCGCATCCATCTCCTCAATGCAGAGCCTCACAGGCGTTGATTTCTCCTACAATAACCTCTCCGGTCTGGTTCCAGGGACCGGCCAATTCAGCTACTTCAATTCCTCATCCTTCCTTGGAAACCCAGAACTTTGCGGCCCTTACCTTGGTCCCTGTCGTTCTACTAACACTAACAAGTCAGGCCACACTCACGGACCTTTCTCCTACTCATTAAAGCTCATTCTTGTCATCGTTCTCCTCCTCTGCTCCATTGCATTTGCCATTATTGCCATAATCAAAGCGCGCTCTTTGAAGAAAGCCAGTGAAGCCCGTGCCTGGAAGCTCACCGCTTTTCAGCGCCTGGACTTCACCTGCGACGATGTGCTTGATTGTCTAAAGGAGGAGAACATAATCGGCAAAGGTGGTGCCGGCATTGTGTACAAAGGGAGCATGCCCAATGGCGAACAGGTGGCAGTGAAACGATTGCCTGCTATGAACAGAGGCTCATCTCATGACCATGGCTTCTCCGCCGAGATCCAGACCCTTGGTAGAATTCGGCACCGGCATATTGTAAGGCTGCTTGGTTTTTGCTCCAACCACGAAACAAATTTGCTTGTCTACGAATATATGCCTAATGGGAGCCTCGGGGAAGTTCTCCATGGGAAGAAAGGTGGCCACTTGCATTGGGATCTCCGGTATAAGATTGCCATTGAAGCAGCAAAAGGGCTCTGTTATCTTCATCATGATTGCTCTCCTCTGATTGTTCACCGCGACGTGAAGTCCAACAACATTCTCCTTGATACCAACTATGAAGCTCACGTAGCTGACTTTGGACTTGCCAAGTTCCTGCAGGATTCCGGTGCTTCTGAATGCATGTCTGCCATTGCTGGTTCTTATGGATATATAGCTCCAGGTATTTATTTTTTCTCTTCATCACTGTGTTCTTATAGGCATGAACCGATGTTTTTTGAACTTCTTGAACTGTTGAATTTTTAGGATCTGTTTGAGGAATATCACTACGAAGTCTATACAAATTAATCACACAGCATCACTCTGTTAGAAGTATTAATTAAAGTTTTTTGGGGAATTTTCATGTGCCACGGCAATATCGTGTATTTACATATATTCGAAAATTTTATTTTAAAATAAATTTGGCAGCATCTTTTAGAGATTATAATGCTATAGAAGTAAATTTAAAAGTTTGGTATTTGATAAAAAAAAATTAGCAGCGTGTTTCTAAATCCCCAACTATTTTTTCAACCATTAGAGCAATCTATTTGGAACCTTTCCACTTGAACAAACAGGCACAAATGATTTTTCGTGTGGCAATACTCAATGTCATTTATGGTAACTTCAGTCAAAAAAAGGTTTTTTGAGGCTCGCCCAAAGGTGAACCATGCTAGGATTTGAGACTGAAGAATGCAATCCTTTAGTAAATCCTTTTAATTGTGTCCATATAATTTAAAATCTAATGAAAGATACCAATTACCATTTGTTTTAGGATGTATATATGTGCCAAGATTTGCAATTTCTCGAGAATTAAATAGATTCAAATTAAATGGAAACCCTATTTTCTTACCAACCGCCTCTTTATCAAGACCCTGGCTGTGGGGAACATGATGTTTCTGTTTTTATTGTCAGAATTTTGGAAAGTTTATTTTCTCAACCATAATTTTTAATTTCCTTACATAAGGTAGTTTTTTCTAAGGGAATGTTTGGACATGTTTTAATTAAGATTTAAGTTCGAAAGAGTTTATAGAAGTATCAAGATAGACTATTTTAGCACTTTTATATGCTCCGGGACTAAAACGATCTCACGTAAATAGTTGAGGACTAATTTGATACTTCACTCTTTTAAAACCATCATATTAATATTTGGCCAAAATTTCTTTTATTCTGTTTTAGAAAATTAACTTTCTTAGAATATATCGTCATATGCTTAACAATTCAACCGAGTTTAGTGATTTTTTAATTGAAAATTTACTAGTTTCATCTGTATTTTTCGTTAATAAAATAGGAGCATTTACATACATACCACCCAGCTCTTATGTATATTTAAATATCTTACACCTCAACATTAAAGTTTACATATATATACCACCCAAATCATTCATGACACATAAAAAATACCACTATTTTAACTTTTAAAATGTGAAATACACCTTTTCATACATAGTTAAGCTGGCATATATGTAAAAATTTAAAATTTAGTTGTTAGAGATGTAAATAAATAAGAATTGAGTGGTATTCTTGTAATTCTTCCAAAGAAATATTATGATAACTCAAATAAGATTCTTTCTTACAATATTTTTGAACTTTCAGCTGATAATTTGTTTAAAAAGCTTTCTAATTTTTATTCAAACAGCCCTTAAAACCGGTCTTCACTTTCCCACCAGCCATGTTCATGCATCAAAAGCATTACAACAAACATTACAATTGCTTTACTTCCTTCCCGTTCAGCATATTCTGTTATCCTTCTCTGCCGTTAACGCACTAACTGCCCTTTGAAACATTTATCTGAAAATTTCTGAATAGTTGGACAAATCAGATGTCTGATCAAATTTCTTCTTTTCCTTCGTTCTCATCTCTGTTGTTGCGTAGAATACGCGTACACCCTGAAGGTGGATGAGAAGAGTGACGTTTACAGCTTTGGCGTGGTGCTGCTGGAGCTCGTGACCGGAAGAAAACCTGTGGGTGAATTCGGCGACGGCGTCGATATCGTCCAATGGGTTCGCAAGATGACGGATTCAAGCAAGGAAGGAGCTACCAAAATTCTAGATCCGAGGCTTCCTACTATTCCTGTTCATGAAGCAATGCACGTGTTCTACGTCGCAATGCTCTGTGTCGAAGAACAGAGCGTCGAGCGTCCGACGATGAGGGAGGTGGTCCAGATCCTTGCGGATCTGCCAAAGCCACTGGCGAAGGCCGAGGAGGAGACAGTGAAAGGTTCCTCCGGACGGCTGCCTGCTTCGGAGGCTACTGACGATGCTAAAGAAGTGGAGGGGGTGCATTCATCTCCACCTGATCTGCTGAGCATTTAACACAGACTTGGCGTGAGAAGGATGTTGGTTTTGGTAGGTAAGTCCTCTCTGGTGCTTTTGCAATTCAAGTTCAATTCAGGGTGTATTTTGGATTTATCTACAGGGAAGAATTTGCTGGGTTTTATTGGGTGCTAGAAATGGATGAAATAGTGTGCTTGTAGTAGGTTTTTTTTTTATTAATTCCCTTTTTTTGTACTTCTGTTGCTGCATTAATTATGCGGCTTTTTTGTTTTGTTTATCAATGGAAGGTTGTTCCTCCCTTATTTTTCTTTTTTTTTTAATTTTTTTATGCTGTTAGAATCTGTGATCATATGATTTGAAAATAAGTGCAATGCACAAAGAAAAAAAAAAGTGATAAAATAGTCCCCGGCTAATCGTATTATTCCCAAAGTTTATATAAGTGTCAAAATGGTTGATAGATTTTTTAAATTGGGGTTGAAGTTCCTATATAAGATTATTAAAGCTCAATTTTAAAATAGTAGGGGATTATATCAGCACTTTTATAAATTCAGGGACTAAAATAACTCCAAATAAATAGTTAGGGACTTTTGGATACTTTATGCATTTAACTAATGGAAATAATCTTTATGAATGGAACTTAGGGTCATTGGTAAATGTATGTATACATAAAATATCGGGTTGTGGGGTGGAGACCAATCGAAAAAGTGGCTGAAGCAGATTTATCTGTAGCAGTGGCAGAATCGGGGCTCCTTGTCAAAGTGGTCAAATTGGGACGATCAATTGAAGAGGCGGAATCAAGTTACAAACCAAAGTGAGTATGTGAGACTAGAATGTATCGGTCAAACAACTTTGTATTATGTTTGCTTGATACGATACATTTTTTGTTGATTTTGTCACCTGAATGGGTATAAATGTGCTTGAATATCGATGTTTTTTTAATATTATTTGTTGGTTCCTAATTTTTTTTTTTGTGTGAACACGTTTCGGGAGTTTAGGATTGAGTGAAGGAAGGAATATGGAAAGAGAATATAACTTGTTCGAGTTCCTCCAACTAAACTCCCCAATACTTGTGAAACTCTTCCGAAGGTATTTTCTGAGTCAAAAGAAGTAAAATGCATACCTTTTATGTTTGTCAATGGGAAGTGTCTTGTAACTTTCAATTGAAATGAATAAGATTATCTTTTTGTTCCTGTTGTGGTTTGTTTCTTTATTCTTTGATTTTTTATCATCATTTGACGAAAAGGCCGTCCAATGCATCTTTGAATTTTGAAAATCAACCCGTCACTCAGCCAATTCGGTCGAGTTTCCCGAGTATTGGGAAGACCTGTGAGTCATTCACATAAAATTAGTATAAATAAATCTCATTAATTAAATATTTTTTACATATTGGTGACAACGTCCCCTTTTATTATGTATACATAAAAATTTCCTCCAAGGAAATTTTTTTTCAAATTGCTCCCGTTTCAAGTCTTGAGGAGCTCTTTTCTGACGTACGTCTTGAGTTGGTAAGCTCACGGGGAAACTCTTCGACTAATCACGTATGGTTCACTCCATGTCTGGTCTAACTTGCAGACGGATTACCCTCGGGCAGCTGGGTCGGCTTTCTTCATGACTAAGTCTTTGGGGCAAATACCTTTTCTCGAACATACCTCTTCATTCTCTCGAACATACCTGTTGAAGCATCGATTTCGTTCGTGCCATGAGGTCAAGTGCCAATATTTCCCCTTTGATTTTAGCTTGCTGCATTCAGCGAGATCCTCCTCGGGAAATGAAGAGTTCGTGACCACCCTTTGGCTGTGATGATCGTACTCGACTGGTAGCACTGCCTCCATTTCATGTATTAGCATGAATGGATTTTGGTCTGTTGCTGATGATGGAGTTATCTGGATCACCCATAGCATTGACGGTAATTAATCTGCACAGTTTCTCTTAGCTCCCTCAACCTTCTTTCTTAATAGATTCAAGATAAATTTTTTAGCCGCCTCGGCCTCCCAGTTCATCCTAGGGTAATGGACCGAAGCAAACTTCAGGTTAATCCCTTGTTTCGTGCAGAAGTCGTTCACTTGCTGGTTCGCAAACTGAGTTTCATTGTCAGTGATGATGATGAGCAGTAGCCCATACGTGCAGATCAAATCGGACTATATGAAATTTTGTATTGCCTCTGCTTTGATTCAAGCGAGTGATTTTGCTTCAACCCATTTTGAAAAATAGCCGACGACCACCAAGAGAAATTTCTTATGGCCATTTCAACGGAGAAAAATGCTCGAGAATGTTTAGTCCCCATGTCGAACGACTGATTACTGACGATCGGTTGTAGGTTTCGCGTTGGCTGATGATGTATAGGCGCGTATTTCTGACACCATTCACATCATCTTGAGAATTTTGTCATCTCTTAGGAGTGTCAAACAAAAGTACCTTTGTTGTTGTGCACGGTAGGCCAGAGTTTTTCCTCTGAAGTGGCTGCCGCATTCTTTAGAATGTACCTCCCGTAGCACATCTTGAATTTTATCCTCTTTCAAGCATCTTATAAATAAAGAGTTACACACTCATTTTATCAAATAGGTAACAGTGTAACTGCAAATCCAAATTATTTATACTACAATCATGTTCTCATGTCTACGCTCCGCCTTTTGTCTCAATCTCTTTCCCCTTTTTTGCTTACGCTCTGTCTACAAAATAACAATTTGGGATTCAAGAATTTCATAAAAAACACCATCATGTTAACTTAAAAAAAATTGTAAAATACATAGCTAAAATGACAAATATGTAAAAAAACTGAAGTATAAAGGTTAGAGATGTAGATACATAGGAATTGAGTGATATGTTTGCCAATCTCCCAAAGATCTAATCATAAAGAACATAAACATAAATTGAATATAATATTGGTTCATTTTACGACCAGTATCTCTATTTCACTCACCACCTTGTCTGTATTTAAAATAATATCTCGGAAGCAGCCCAAACGTCAGCATCTGTTCAATTCGCCCTCCTTGCTTTTTCCATCAGAAAATTTTTTGCATTTTATTCCTTTTGCTTCCTTTTGCAATTTTAAATTTTCAATGACTGCAGCCTTTTCTTCTCTGAACTGCAAGGAAAATTATAATTACAGAGATTTCATTAATTTTTTATTCTAAATTAAATAATTTACAAATCACACATAAGATATTAAACAAAAATGTATTTAGTTTAGGCATGAATGTGAATATATAAATTTTGGTACTAGATATGTAAATATATAATAACTGTGTGATATCTATGTAAATGTCCCAAAACATTTAATGATGCCATCCACTAGTGGCTTATGAGAATAAAATCTCATTTCTTTTTTAAAGTAAAAGCAGCCAATCTTTCAACCCTTTTTAGGGTGAAGACACCATAATTCCTTGTTTAGTAGACTAATTATGACTTCATGTGGCCCTGGGTAGGATTGTAAATTTTACAAAGTACTATTACTTGTTTGCTTATAAGTAGGCTCAGTTTGAATGAATCAGTTTACAAATTTACCAAATTGATTGCAATCATAGAAACACATAAATATGTGCAATTGAATAGACTGTTTTGTCTTTATAATATAAAATTATTTAATTTGATTTAGACAATTTTAGCATATAGTGTAAGGAGACAAGTTTAATAGGGCCTTAGCCATTCCATCCAAGCTGTTTCGTTTTTAATTTGTTCCATTTATCACATGACTTTTCCTTATCAGTTCACTGTCTTCCTACTCTTGTGCATAGTTATTATTATTATTATTATTTACATTGATTTATGAACAACATTGATGTAAAATCATATAAAAATATTCAAACTTAAATTTTATTTTAATAATTATTGTTGAATTCTTTTGGGACACGTGATCTGTATTGTTCATGAGTTCATACAATTTATGAGAGATCTCGTGAAGGAGGTACAAGAGAGCCAATGATTTTCTAAGTGTTTGTGGATTTCAAAATGTCTGTCTTTTTATTGATGGTGGTGAGGAAGAAGATAAAAGAGAACACGAGAGTCATTATACAACTATAAATAATTGGCAAATGCAATATTATAGGTTGTGTTGTATGAAACTTATTCAGACATTTTATTGATAACATCGTAATGTTATGCGGTCAGTAAATAGTCATGGACAATGATATAATGGAGTTTTCCTTCATGGTTGTTATGTAAATTTGATCACGTAGCTTGATGGACACGAGCAAGCTCGATCGGAGAGCTTGTTGGGTGTGGGTGAGCTCAATAGAAGAGTTCGAGGAGCATGGGGAACTTGGTCAAAGAAGCTCTCATAAATAACAAGTATCAGGGAGTTTAGTTGGAGGAACTCGAGCAAACACTGACACGCTCGAGAGAGAGGAGAACGCCAAATTCTTCTTAGGGGCGAGCCTGATAACCATTATGTCCATGCTTTTAAAAATAATTCTACTTTCTGAATCTTATATTATTGGAAACCTTGCTTTATAACTTTATCAGCTAGTGATGACTTTCCCTTAAAAAAGAAAGACATAAAAATAGCATTTATCAAAGTTATTTAAAGTCTGTTGAGTCGATTATAGCTTTCGCCAAGCCAGATTGGAGATCTATTTATAAAACTTTTGATATATTGCAACTTATATATATATATATATAGAGAGAGAGAGAGAGAGAGAAGAGAGAGACAGAGATTATTATGTAATTCTTCAAATTTTTTATTTCCAAAATAGAAGTAAAAAAATATTTTTTTCTAGACTCAAATTTAGAAAGAGTATAAACTTGTATGTCATGTACATGACACTAATTCTTTCGTAACTCGATCAGTTTTGATCTTGCTTGCTTTAGTTTGGATAGTTACGCTCGCTTCGATAAGTAGGTCTCATAGTTTTCTGTCAGTGAACTCTCCTTCATTGCACTTTTCTACTCTAGACCTTTAAAACTCCTCAAGATCAACCCAAACACGTTTTGCTTTTGATGTAAACTTCTTATCCACACAAAGAGAGTTGTATTAGGTGTGTTGTCTTCTTCAAATAATTTCTCCTCATCTTCTCCTCCACTCACACTCACATAGCTTTTTTCTGCAAAAATTCAGCTTTTCTAAGAATCTAAGGATTGCGGAGCTGTAAAGGCATCCTAAGCCAGAGAAAGCCAAATGCATCAAAACAAAATAGAAAAACCAAAAATAGTTATTTACATATTCATCCAACCACTTTATTCCTCATGCCTGCAACTGCCAAACCTTCAATTTAATATCTGAAACCAAATAGAATGTTTAAAGGAAGAAGGGAATTATGAATGAAAGGAAAATATAATAGTAAAAACGGATGAATAA